TCTCCACAGCCTCCTTGATAAGGACATTTTGAGAGATGCTCATATCCCCCTGGAACTTAGTCGACCTAGGAGGGAAAGAGCAAAACCTGTCCTTTATGTCCCTCTCTCCAAATTAGTATATACCTCATAGTGTGGCTATTAAACATCCAAGAGGGTTAGTTCCACCATTCTGGTACTTTTAATTACCTTGTGCCATGTATATACAGCTTGGGCAAAGACCACACACTCTCAGATAAACCTTGCTAGACATATATTGTATTCTTTGATCTTCTTGTATATATAATTTGTCAGTAGGTTCTTGGACTAATATGGTTCCCTCTGGTTTTCAAAACTAGTTGGGCATTGTTTATCTCTTGCATTGTCTAACCCCTCCATCATGGTTTCCCCAATTAAGGTGTCCCCATTTTCCCCCTTTCTCCCTTAATAATACCCTTCTCCTAAGTTCCTACCTCTCTTGAGCTCCTTCTTTCCCTTTTTCCCCTAGGTTCCTTGTGTACCCCCCATTTCTCCCTTAATCAACCCTGGGTCTTACGATCTTTCTGTTCCTTTTTCCACAATGTTCCCTGAGCCATGGGTGGGTAAGTTTTAATATAGGAATCCAATCCAGGGACACACATTCTGCTGTCTCTTATTCTCTAAAGCTTAGCCATTTGTGGCTTTCTGTTTGTATCTTACATGAGTAAGTTTTATTGGTGAGAGTTGTGGTATACTTTTATATTTTTTCTACTCACTGCTCCACCATGTTCCGTGAGTCTTTGGTAGAGCTTCCATTGTACATGTGTCACTTAAGATTTGGCATCTCTCAGACATATTATCTGTTCTCTCTTTGTGACCAGTTGTGGAACTCAGTTATAGCCTCAATCTCTTGAAGAAAATTCTTTGATGAGTGGTGAATGGCATACTCTAATTAATGCATAGGAAGATAAGGGCATATTATCAGGTTCTACATCCTGGATGCTAAAAACACATGAAAATGTACTTTGGGGATCTAAATAAAGCATATTCAGGGAGTAAAATTGCCCTGTATTAATCCAGTGTGGCCTAAATATGATCATATGTCTTTATAAATGAGTGACCAAGAGAGTTTGTCACAGAAAGAATAGGGGAAGTCTGTTGGAACAATGAAGACAGATATACAGTGATATGGGAAATGGAAGGAGAGCTGCAGTCTCCACAAGCTAGAGAAGTCAAGGGAAAGTTTTATTTGTTTGTTTTTTGTTTTTTGTTTTTTTGAAACTGCCTTACTGACTTTTGTTTTGTTTTGTTTCTTTTTTAAACGTGAGTTTTGCAAATTTCACTTAATATATTTAGATAGCCCATATGAAACATGCTTATTACCTCCTGCAATTGTGTGTGTGTGTGTGTGTGTGTGTGTGTGTGTGTGTATGGTGAGAGAGTGAAAGAGAGAGTACTATAGAGTCTAATATATGTCTATGTATGTCCAAATGTCCTTCTGTGTAGGTCATTCTGGACTGTTCACATGTGAAGAATGAAGAGGAGGACCTCAAATATCGTACTTCGTCACTCTTTACCTTATTATCTTTTATAGTGCTTGTCACTGAACCTAGAGCCAGGAAAGCAGGCAGAAAGATACACATATGGTCATGCTTAGCTGATGATAAGAAGATGGTGATTCAAATTAAAATATTAACATTAAAAATTTTTAAATAAATATTAATTAAAATATTTTTCACAGAAAGATATTTTTCTGAGTCATCACCCCATTCTCTCTCTGTTGAACATTCTACTGCTGCCCATAAATGCACTGTAGGAATTTGTTGTACCAGAATAAAAACATCGAAGCCCAGACTACATGTAGTGAGGCAAAAAATAGTTCAATGTAAATATTGATGAATTTTCAACTGAAATGACACTTTATCACTAATCGTATTAATGCTGAGATTTTAAGGCTATATGAAAATAAGTATTCTGACAAAACATATTTCACTGTGGTTCATATGGGTAAACCTTCAGCTCCTCCTTTGATATCTTCAGTGATGCATATCAA